AAAATCTGATGCATTTTCGGATTGTACATGAAACAACTCACAGGAGTGGTACGCTAGTGTAACAATTAATCGACGGATTTTTGAGTTCACATGTTTTTGCTGACCTAGTTAGTTTGATGACGCATTATTGTATTTCAACCTGTACGCGTATTTCTGTCTGTGTTTTCATTACAAATACACGCAAGACCCCTTCTTGTTCCAAAATGGGGGAATCCCTTTCTAATATTGTGTGTGTTTGAGAGCAATATGTGCATATTTTCGTTCCACCATGCACGCAGTGATACATGTCCTCCAACAGGAATGATTTGGTACCCATGGATTTTGAGTCGCAATGAAATAATTAGTAGTCACCTTGTAGAATTCTTGGGTGAGATGTATCAAAGGATAAATAAAGATCGTAAATTGTTATGACACCTAATTTTTTATAATTCCCACACATATTTTGTTTATAAAATGTGAATTTCGTATTAACAAATTAGAGGTACATGTAATAACTATATAGTAAGATTTTTGTGAATATATCACTGTATTGGTGTATGAATTTCTGTTGTGTCATTGGTTTGTCAGTAAATTTTTGGTAATTTTCAAGAAAAAAGATATCAATTTACTACTAACAGAAAGCAAAGAGTATAGCAGTGATGTGTTTATCAGTTTTATGTAGAGGGCACACTGTTTGTACACATGTGTGGATTCACTAATAAAGTATTGTTTATTTGAGATCAGTAATTTAGCTGACAATGTGCCTGATTGCGATGTAATCTCTCAAACATCGGATAAATGTGTAGTTGTATTCACATAAAATGCACATTAAAGTTGATTTTTATTTTTCATTCACATTTCAAATCTGACCATTCAATGATTTTGCAAGACCAAAATCATATTGAATATAAATCACCAACTAAATATCTTCACTAGTATGAAATGTACATATAATTGTGTGTGTGTTTTATTGTAGTCGTTAATACCGTAGCAGCATAATGTCACATCTTAACCCTATGCCAGGGCTTGGACAGTAAGTATTCAGATTAAACTTGATGTTGTCAAATTTGTCAATAATTCTGAATGTTGTGACTATGTTCAACTGATTGTCATGGATACGATATTTCATTAATGCATATTTGGGCAAGTTAAGCCATCCAATTGTTAGTATTAAGTAAGGCTTGCACTGAATTTACATTACATGTAGATCACACACTCCGATCTACTTAGACAGGACCTGTTGTGTCTCAGCGGTATTTATAGATAATTCTATTTTGACCTATTCTTGTGTCACTATGACCTGTTGTTTTATCCTACATCCTAAATTACTTATTGCAAGTGAGTGCGCATACTACAATGTAACTGTAGAACTCATCACAATTGATCATTATGCTGCTAGCGACCACTAGACTCTTGGTGGCATTTCTTTCATTTGATCCATGATCATGCTGTATTGTTGGCAGATCTTTTCCTATTTCTACTTGATTAATTAAATTCCTTTGAAACTGCTATGAAGCCATGTCTTGGGGTCTCTTCACTCTATGAATGTAAAAGTGGATCACTCACTCCAGTGTAAGGATGTGTACAAATAAGTGGTGCCTTTAGGTTCTTAGTAAATAGCCCTGGTCGATAATGGCCGAAAACATTGAAAATTGAGTTAAAACACACTGCAGCATTTTCTAGTTACTCCCATTGATTAGAAAGAGCATCAATAGAGTAAACCAAATTTTTCAATTTTGTTGGAATTTCTGCCTCTTGCATTCTACGCATCAAAAATGTTTGTTTCGCATAATATGCAGGGTATTTGTATTTCAATTGTGTGGTTAAATCATCCAACATACATGTACAGGAGCAAATGAATAATCGTTCTTGAGGTGATTTAATTTAAAAACATACACGTAACTCACAACCTCTTGATTCTAACTAGTTGTTCATTAACTGTCATTGCTACTATCACTACTACCTCCTCATCTCACTCTTAGACGTACCTTGCAATTGGCCGATCATCTTCCGTGGACAAATACGTAAGTATAGCGAGACAAAGCAAATAATATATAAATACAAATCAGTTATGTTTGAATGTTGTTGTCTGTTTTCGTGTTCAACCACCTTATGGTTCTGAATCAATAAACTTATGTTTCATGAACTCATTTTATCTATGTGATTGATTACTTCACGTTTACCTGTCAAGACTTAAAGCAAATGGTTCTGAATCAATAAACTTATAATGTTTCATGAACTCATTTTATCTATGTGATTGATTACTTCACGTTTACCTGTCAAGACTTAAAGCAAATGGTTCTGAATCAATAAACTTGTAATGTTTCATGAACTCATTTTATCTATGTGATTGATTACTTCACGTTTACCTGTCAAGACTTAAAACAAACAAATATCTACTGGGTACTCAATTTAAAGTACTGGTACAAAATGTACATGCGTTTATTATGTACATTTAGGGAAACAAATGTTAGTGTTATGGCATGTGCATTTCACATTTTACCTTATTTCCACTTTTATTTGAGATGCTCTTGCAATTAAACAGAAATGGGATAGATACAAAAATATAAACTTTATAAATGTATAGGAAAAAAATAAAAGAAACATGGATATCTAAAGCCTATGTAAAGATTTTTGACAACAACTAACATGACTGAATTACCAAATAACTGATGAATAGATAGTTTAAATTAATTTAACAAGTGGCTCATCTATATTAACCTTTTGAACAAACTTTTGTCATCAATCACGATTTTTTTTCCATAATAGGGAAAACATAGAAAAATGCTTAAAAACAGCCATTTTGTTGTACACAAATTTTGCCAAGAAAAATGACAGTAGAATTAGGGAAATTGTGAATTGTGTTTCTGAGGAGGTAGTGGTCTTCTTTTTCATCATGGTTTTCAGTTGTGTTGTCAGCAGTGGAAGTATCTGTTGGGGAAAATGGGACAATTTGTAGTCATGAACATTTCACTGGGGTCTCATTGCCATAACATTTTTAAAATTCACAAATTTCTTGCACTGAAAATTATATTATTATACTAAATTATTTATTTGGGAAATGTTTTGAATCGGGTATATACAAAATGCATGAAATGAAAAGAAATTTTCCTAAGTTTGTCCAATGTCACTGAGAATCTTCTAAGAGGCTTGAAGGAACACTGCATACTGTAAATAATTGTATGCTGCTGGATAACAATGAAAACCCTGATTTCTTGTACTCATCTCTCTTCTAATATATGCTGTTCATCTATATTTCTAGTTTTGCCTTCATCATAGCATGCACTTTACTTACTTAAAAAGTCTAATAATGTGTGTTTGGTTTCGTATTTGTATGCTGATTGCATACCTTGTAGAGGTAAATTTGAGGTTTAGTTTTGTGATATGAATAATACAATTGTATCAATAAATTGTATCTTTTGTATAAATTTATGATTTGAACACACTGATTGCTAAATGCCATCTTTAGCACTCAGTGGATTGGTCAGAAAAAGTAGAGATCTCAATCTGAGATCATTCCTGAAGACTTATTGGAACAATTAATACTGTGGAATACTTTATTTTCGCTGGAATTAATTTTCACCGAAAAGGCTTTTTTGGCGTTTTGTATGGAATTTATTTTCACTGCTTTTTGATGAGTTTAATGTGAAATATAGGAAAACAAGTATATTCGCTGGATTTTTTTTTCACAGAATCATCTCTTCAGCGAAAATGCAAAAATAAAGTATTCTACAGTATGCAAAATATTTGAATGAATTATGTATGAATTTGTGAGAAGTGTGTACTAAAATGCAATCTCTTCAATGTTAGTGTGAAACTACCACTACTGGTAGTACATTGCCCATTGGTTTATCCCATCCTGCCATGATTATAAATGCAGACTAACATTACTGGTAGTACATTGCCCA